GGTGCGGTTCGTTTGGGTCGGTGTGAACGCAGTCCGAGACCTCTGAAGTGAACTAAACAACCGGACTCTGGTCCGCTAAAAGAGGTGGTCTCGGAGCGCCTGCTAGTGAACTCTGGAGCGGTTCATCTCTGGTGTGAACGCAGTCCGCACCAAAATATAGGAAGCGTAGTATTTACGAGTCACAAGAACGCGGATGTCTTCAGAATCTTTAGCGAAAGAGTCTTTCAAGATATCCGCGGTTGTTTAGTTAAAGAGTGAAGCAGAATGAAGTGTTGAACAGTGTCGTGTAAAGTAAACATGCTCCGTCAGCTACATAAAAGTCAGAGCCACCTGTCGTCGGTGAAACCTCCTCCTGACTGCAGAACGTGTTATAATGTTTTTTAACGGACGTTGATCTGATGATATAATCATATGCGCGGGCCGCTAGTGTCTGTTGATCTCCAGATTAACAGCAGCATGAGAATAACCTGCCGAAAGTGCCGATGTTCCATGGCGGAGGCTCCGATAGGAATTGCCGGGATTTGCGTTTTTACCCCCTTAATGTCTGACCAATGGTTGAACAGCATTTCCGAGCACATGACTTGTGTTTAAAGTTTATAGTCCGTTTGAGTTTTGCCCGTGTGAACGCAAACCGAACCTTCTGAAAAATGAAGCAATGTAACAAACTGTGTTCTGGTGCGCACCAGAGAACGGACTATTAGGTGTGAATGCACCCTAAGAGTCCATAAACGACAAGCTAAGCTAAACTAAGCTAGCATAATGAGATAAAGCTTTATTGGACGTGGTGTTGGGCTCTTTAGTGTTTTGACAGAAACACATTTTAGATTTAATCTCATTTTATAAGAGGTGTTCTCCTGCCAGTATGAGAAAGGCCTCAGATTCAGCCTAAAATGCTGGATTGGTCATCCTCGAGTATACAAATCCATACAATGAGCTAAGCTAAAATAAGCTAGGCTAGGCTAATTCAGGCTTCAGAGCAGCACTGAGTGAAACATAAGATGGGACAGGTAGGAGTTCACACAAGGTTTTATTCAAAAAATGTCGCTATTTGCAGCTAAATGCTAACGTTACGTAGCTCTCCTCCTGACGATTTAAAAATGGATGTGTTGTTACTAATGAAATCATAATTAGGAGAACAAATCCCCAGGAAATATTATATTCCCAAAGAGGTAAAGTTGAGCTGAAACCAGAGAAGATGTGGCTTTCTTTTAAAAAGATATATAAACAATGTATCGGATATTAAATCGTAGGAATAACTATTACAGGACTATTTTCCATCTTCAGTGTAAAATCAATAAGGCAAGGAGCCAAGAGAGGGTCAGCTGAGAGGTGAAAACACACTTGACAAACTCAAATTGAGCCTCACACAACTAGACAGACACACACACACACACACACACACACACACACACACACACACACACACACACACACACACACACACACACACACACACACACACACACACACTACGACGTACGTACGTACGTACTACTACTACCTACCTACTACTACTACTACTACGTACGTACGTACGTACGTACGTACGGTACCGGTACGTACGTACGTACTACGTACGTACGTACTACGTACGTACGAACGTACGTAACACTACGTACTAACGACACACACACACACACACACACACACACACACACACACACACACACACACACACACACACACACACACACACACACACACACGTACACACTACACTACTACACTACACTACTACTA